GCGTGAACCATCGTGCGCTCACCGGTCGTGTGGAAGAGAGCCTCGACGTGACGTCCAAACTGATTCCTGAGCACTGCCCGTGGAGGATCGCTGACCGCCTCGCCCTTCTCCTCTGCCTGGACTTTCGAGGGGGGTGCTGACGACGCAACCCTGACCCGCGCGCGGCAGCGCCACCCTGCGACGAAGCCGAAGACGGCGCAGGAAGCTGACCAAATCACAAAGAAGCTGAGGATATCTTCCATGAGCTGATCTCAACAGAGCTAATGCCAACAGGCTTGAACCAACCGGCTTGAGCCCAGCAAGCTTGAGCCAAAATGGTTACGGCACCGAACAGCGAGGGTCGAGCACTGGAAAGACGCGTGGCCACTGAAGCTGTCTGACTCCTCCGCATGCGTTTCCTCATTCTTTCAGGAGGGAGCCTTGTCTGGAATCCAAAGGCCTGAATATGGAGGAAGTCTCAGGCGGGAGCCTTGTCTGTGAGCGCGTCCTCCTCCGTGTCCTCCTCCTCCTCCTCCTCTTCCTCCTCCTCCTATTTCTCTTCCTCCAGCCCCGATTTTTCCAATTAGATTTCTATTGCAACCCCTTTTGGAAAAATTGATTTTTCGGCCGTCGTATGAGGTGGTCCATCCCAGGGTATCGCCCCCGCCCCGCACCGAGGCGTTATCTTAGCACCCGGCAGGACCAAAATAAATCCCCGAGCCAGAGTTTTAGTGGATCCGTGTAAATGGTTGACTACGGCACCGAACAGCGAGGGTCGAGCACTGGAAAGACGCGTGGCCACTGAAGCTGTCTGACTCCTCCGCATGCGTTTCCTTATTCTTTTAGGAGGGAGCCTTGTCTGGAATCCTGAGGCCTGAATATGGAGGAAGTCTCAGGCGGGAGCCTTGTCTGTGAGCGCGTCCTCCTCCGTGTCCTCCTCCTCCTCCTCTTCCTCCTCCTCCTCCTCCTCCTCCTTCTCTTCCTCCAGCCCCGATTTTTCCAATTAGATTTCTATTGCAACCCCTTTTGGAAAAATTGTTTTTTTCGGCCGTCGTAGGAGGTTGGTCCATCCCAGGGTATCGCCCCCGCCCCGCAGCGAGGCGTTATCTTAGCACCCGGACGGACCCAAAATAAATCCCCGAGCCAGAGTATGAGTGGATCAGTGTGAAATTTGAGAAAAGCTCAGGAAAAGCAAAGACAAGCAACAGCAAAACTGAGAAAAGCTAAAGAAAAACTGAGAAAAGCTAAGGAGCAGCTAAGGAAAAAACTGAGAAAAGCTAAGAAAAGCTCATAAAAACAAAAGAAAAGGTAAGGAAAAGCTGGTAAAAGCTAAAGAAAAGCTGAGAAAAGCTAAGGAAAAGCTGGAAAAGCTAAGGAACATCTAAGGAAAAGCTGGGGAAAAGCTGATAAAAGCTGATAAAAGCTAAGGAAAAGCTAAAGAAAAGCTGAGAAAAGCTAAGGAAAATCTGAGGAAAGCTAAGGAACAGCTGAGAGCAGCGAAGGAAAGCTAAGGAAAAGCTGAGAAAAGCTAAGGAACAGCTAAGGAAAAACTTCGGAAAAGCTGATAAAAGCTGATAAAAGCTAAGGAAAAGCTAAAGAAAAGCTTAGAAAAACTAAGGAAAAGCTGAGGAAAGCTAAGGAAAAGCTGAGAACAGCGAAGGAAAAGCAAAGGAAAAGCATAGAAAAAATTGAGGAAAGCTGAGAAAAGCTGAGGAAAAGCAAAGAAAAGCTTTAGAAAAGCTGAGAAAAGCTAAGGAAAAGATGAGAAAAGCTAAGGAACAGCTAAGAAAAGCTGAGGAAAAGCTGATAAAAGCAGAAAGGAAAGGTAAGGAAAAGCTGGGAAAAAGCTAAGGAAACGCTGAGAAAGGCTAAGGAAAAGTTGAGACAAGCTAAGGATCAGCTAAGGAAAAGCTAAGAAAAGCTAAGGAAAAGCTGATAAAAGCTAAAGAAAAGCTGAGAAAAGCTAAGGAAAAGCTGCGAAAAGCTAAAGAAAAGCTGAGAAAAGCTCAGGAAAAGCTGAGATGTCCTGGGTTCGCGTCGGGGCCTGTCGCTCCTTGCGGAACAATAATTAGGCCCACCCCTTGTTCCGTCCACGCAAAAAATGCACCCCAGCCCCTCCCCCCAGTCGCCCGCCCGAGCGCGGTTGCGGAATCGCGCGGCAGCGCCACTGAATGCGACGCAACTCAATCATAGCTGACATAGCTGAGAAGGCGAGCTCTGAGAACAGCTGACGCAGTTGAGAAGGCGAGCTCTGAGAACAGCTGACATAGCTGAGAAGGCGAACAATCGGTGCCTGGGTCGCTGACATGGCTGAGAAGGCGAGCGCTGAGAACAGCTGATGTCTCTCCTCGTTTGGATGTATTCTGGATGGGCTGGTGGGGATCGCGCAAAGCCTGAGAATTTGCTGAGATGTCCTAGGTGCGCGTCGGGGCCTTTCGCTCCTTGCGAAACAATAATTAGCCCCACCCCCCCCCGTTGCGTCCACGCAGAAATTGCGCCCCAGCCCCTCCCCCAGGTCGCCCGCCCGAGCGCGGTGGCACCACTGAATGCGATGCACCGAAAGAGAGCAAGGCGATGTGTTTCTGAGCGACGCCTGCGCACGGCGCCTGATCTCTTAAAGCGTCAGCGAGCGCTGACAGCCCTGGCGTCGACGTGACGCCCCGGCGCTGAAAGCCCTGGCGCTGAAGGGAGCGGTCTCGTTCAAAACGCGAGCACTGAAAGCCCCCTGAAAAAATTGGAGCCGCGCTGGAACTGAAGGCGGGGAGACAGGCTAACAGGCTAACACCATCTGCCTGACAGGCTAAGCTCGCCCTCCCCTCCCTGCCGTCCCCTTCCCCAAGGAAAAGCTGAGGAAAAGCTGAGAAAAGCTGAGAAAAGCTAAGGAAAAGCTGAGAAAAGCTCAGGAAAAGCTAAGGAAAAGCTTAGGAGGCGATAAACAAGGTAAGGAAAAAGTAAGAAAAAGTAGGGAAGAGCTGAACAAAGCTAAGGAAAAGCTGAGAAAAAGCTAAGGAAAAGCTGAGAAAAGCTAAGGAAAAGCTAAGACAAGCTTAGGAAAAGCTAAGGAAAAGCTAAAGAAAAGCTAAGGAAAAGGTAGGGAAGAGCTGAATAAAGGTAAGGAAAAGCTGAGGACAGCTAAGGAAAAGCTGAGAAAAGCTGCGGAAAAACTGAGAAAAGCTAAGGAAAAGCTGAGAAAAGCTAAGGAAAAGCTAAGAAAAACTTAGGAAAAGCTAAGAAAAGCTAAGGAAAAGCTAAGGAAAAGCTTAGAAAAAAATAGGGAAGAGCTGAATAAAGCTAAGGAAAAACTGAGGACAGCTAAGGAAAAGCTGAGAAAAACTGAGGAAAAGCTGAGAAAAGCTAAGGAAAAGCTGCGAAAAGCTAAGGAAAAGCTAAGAAAAGCTAAGGAAAAGCTAAGAAAAGCTAAGGAAAAGCTGAGAAAAGGGAAAGCTAAGGAAAAGCTAAGGACAAGCAGAGAAAAGCTAAGGAAAAGCTGAGAAAAGCTCAGGAAAGTTTAGAAAAAAGGTAGAGAAAAAACTGAGAAAAGCCAAAGAAAAGCTCAGGAACAGCTGAGAAAAGCTTAGGAAAAGCTGAGAAAAGCTAAGGGGAAGCTAAGGAAAAGCTAAGGAAACGCTGAGAAAAGCTAAGGAAAAGCTGAGAAAAGCAAAGGAAAAGCTGAAAAAAGAGCTGAGGAAAACTAAAGAAAGGCTCAGAATAGGAAAGGACAAGGAATTGCACGGAGGAGGAGAGGGGGGGGGAGGAGAGGGCTCCCTACTCCGCAGTCCTGGCTCCCAGCCCTCAGTCCTGAGGAACGGCCTAATAAAAGCCGTACAGGTCCACGATCTCCTGAGGCGTCAACTGACCCATGCGGTTCTCCTTGCTCGCTGTCTCGTCGTACTGCTGACCGTGAAGATGCTGGCCCCACTGATTGCGGAAGTCCGCCTTCAACGTCGTGATCTTCACGCCGTCTGAGGCCTCACCGGACTCAGTCATTGCTTTGTTGACGATGATGCTGAGGAGCGCCGCTGAAGGCACGGTGTGAGTGCGCTGGTAGAGGTTGCGCGAGTAGCGGCTGAGTTGCTGAAAGGCTTGACGACTGCCGTACGCCGCATCCCGATTCAAGTCCCACTCGACAATTGCCGAGATGACCTGACGGCAGCATTCGAATGGGCTGAATTCCAAGCCCATGAGGCGCCGCTCGATGAACGCGCAGCGCTGAGATACCCCATCGACGATGTAGTACATGCCGTCGAGGTTCTCTGAAACCACGCTGATCTTCCACAAGATGGCGCCGAGGACGAAGAGGACTGCCAGACCGAGCACGCTGACCACCAGCTGCTCGCTGACCTGAGCTACGGAGATGGAAGAGAACGAGGAGGAGGAGGAGGAGGAGGAGGAAGTGGACCAGCGGGGCCGCGGCGACCGCGGCGACCGCGGCGACGGCGAGGGCGCTGACGAAGCCCTGCACCATCTGCATCTGACGGCTGCAGGCTGAAGCCTGAAGCCTGAAGCCGGAAGTAAAAAAAAAAAAAAAGAAAACTAAATAAAAAAAAAAAGAAAAAAAACTAAAAAAAAAAAAAAAGATAATATAAGAAAAAAAAAAAAAAAAAAAAAAAAAAAAAAATAAAAAAAAAAAAAAAAAAAAAGAAACAGAAAAGAAAAGAAAAAAAAAAAAACATAGAAAAGAAAAAAAAAAAAAAAAAAAAAAAAAAAAAACAAAAATAAAAAGAAAATAAAAAAAAAAACAAAAGAACAAAAAACAAAAAAAAAAAAACAGAAATAAAAAAAATAAAAAAAAAAAAATAAAACAAAAGGAAAAACAAAAGTAAGAAATAAAAAAAAAAAAAAAAAAAATAGAAAAAATAAATACAAAAAAAAAAAACAAAGAAAAAAACAAAAAAAAAAAGAAATAAAAAAAAAAAAAAAATAAAAAAAAAAAAAAGAAAAAAAAAAAAGAAAAAAGAAAAAAAAAAATAAAATAAAAAAAAAAAAAAAACAAAGTTAAGCCTGGAGGAAGCCTGAAGGCTGCAGCCTGAAGCCTGAAGCCTGAGCCGAAGGTGCTGCGTCGCCGTCGCCGTCGCCGTCGCCGCAGCCGTCGCCGCCGCCGCCGTCGCCGTCGCCGCCCCCGTCCCCGTCGCCCTCGCCGTCGTCGTCGCCGTCGTCGTCGTCGTCGTCGTCGTCGTCGTCGTCGTCGTCCTCGTCCTTGTCCTCGTCCTCGTCCTCGCCCTCGTCCTCGTCCTCGTGCTCGTCCTCGCCCTCGTTCTCGTCCTCAGTGCGTGTGTACCGCAGCGAGAGACCACCCCTTTGTGCACCCCCTATGGTGTCGAGAAAGTGCCACGCCTGCTATGCTTGGACGACTGGGACGTATAGAGACCGCGGTGAGAGACCACCTCCTACGCACCCCCTATGGTGTTGAGACAGTGCCACGCGAGGGGGGGAGGAGGGAGGAGGTGGGGGGAGGAGGGAGGAGAGACAGGAGGAGGGAATGGTTTCATGTGGTCCTGAGGGATTGGAAGCGATTAAGAAGCCCCCCCCCCTGCGAGACCCGTCGGGAACCACTTTGAAACTTGTGGGACCTGCGAGACCTGCGGGACTCCGTGGGACCCGTGCGATCTGGTGTACCCCCTCCTGGTGCCAGGATAACGCTTCCGGGTGCCGGGTGCGTTATCCTTTCACCGGGGGGGGGGGGGGGTTCCTTAATCGCTTACTGGGGTTATTCCCTTCCACCCCTCCAGAACCAGGGTGGACCTTGCCCCCGCCAGGCCGTTCGGGGCGATTCTGGCACTGAGGAGCGCCTTCGACGAGGCACAGCTGATGGAGACCACCCTTGGTCTCGTAAGCCTCCGAAGACATTCGAAAACGCTCGAACTCTTCCGAAAACCGTCAGCGTCCTCCGCCTGCTCCTCCTGACCCCGCAGGCGCGCTCTTTGGCGAGGCGCGCGCCTGCGCGTCGCGTCGACTGTGCCGGGAGCGGCTGCCGTCCAGAAGGGCGCGGGGCGCGGCAGCCTGGATCGGAGCATATCGGAGCATCCGCTTGGCCACACGGCCGGCGACTGGCGGCGGCGAGCGGCGGCGACACTCTGGGGCCGAGTCGGGCAGAGGGGAGCAAGGGAGTACGGAGCCCCTTACGGTAAGGGCATTGAATAAGGCACCAGTAGATGATGAGGTATTCAGGGTCTGGAAGCTGGTGGAACTCTAATCGTGGATTGGCTATGGACATCATTGCCGCCCTCATCAGATAAGGACCCGTCAGTTTGAGGCCTCGTGGGCACTTTCCTTAACGCACGCCCCCCACCGAATCGACTACACGCAAGGATGACCCTAGGCAAAAGTGGCCTTTGGCGCGCGGCCTGGCAGTCGTTGCGCGCTGTGCGACGGTAGCGGCCGACGAAAGCCGCGCAGTCACTCC